CCACTGCAGTTGCTTGAACTTCAGAGAGACAAATATCAAAAAACTTAATTGCACCAACCTACAAATTAATTAAACTTAATTGAAGTTCCATTTAGTATAACAAGTCACCAAAACCAAAAGATTACCAACTTCCTCCCACTTGGGAGTGATAGAAATCATAAGAGGTGATGACAGAGACACCCTGTCTTCCTCCCTCCATCCACCTTCTCCAAGTGCTTCTTGGTTGAGGTCAAACTCATCCCACAATGGGAAATGCTTTCTCTCCTCCACCTCCCACCAAGCAGGGCCTTTTGGGGCTTTTAGAGGCATCTCCTCTTGCTGGGATGGGATTTTTTTTTCATTTGAAAAGTGACTTCATATCCCATTTTATTATTTTTTGAGTGTTGCAGGATTTGTTCTGTTTGAAGTCTTACATCCTCATTTCCCGTCAGGACGATTAAAATTGATTTCTGCCATCAGCAAGAGAAAGATAATCTGAAGTGGGTTCCTGTGAGAGAGAGCTGTATCCCCACTGGAGCCATTACTAGCCCTTTCCTATTCTTTTAACTTTCTTTTTTCAGGAGGGGGATTTCTTTTTGGGAAAGGGCAACTCGGTTCTTCTCAGCCGTATGTGTCCTCCGAGTCAGTCAGGGAGAACTATTTAACCTCATGTTTTGCCATCACAAAAAGTGGACTGAGGGATTTAAATAGCTCTTGTTTACCACTGCCACCCTCCTGGTGGTATTTTTAGAGGAGTAACAGGATCCTCTCAACGCCTTCACTTTGCTTTCTCCAGCTCCACAACCTCTGACCCCATCCCTGCACCTGTCCCAGTTTGTATCGGGACAAACTGAAATGGGGTGGGTTTTTCTCCTGCATTAAGTTGGGTGGCTCCTGGACCACTCATAGGCTTTGCAGAAGGAGGAGGGAGGGATTTGGGCTGGAAAACCATTGGCAAGGAGTAAAACCTCCAGCTGACAAAGAAAACATGGAAAAAATGAGCATGGAGGGCAAGTGATACTCAGGGATACAGTTGTTCCCACTTCTACTGATCTCTTAAATTAATTAAACCTGGAATGTCCTAAATAAAAAAAAATCAATTAAATTCAATTAAATTTTTTTCTAAATCCATTAAATACAATTTTAATATTCATTAAATAAATTTAAAACCTAACAAAATTGACCAATATACCAACCAACCTCCAAAATATGGCAAAAAAATCTCTAAAATATAAATAACATCTTTCTGGGCTGGAGGACCTCAGGGCCCCACGATCACTCTGGTTTGCACCAAACCCCCAGGAACAAATTTATTAAAATGAGAGGGACTGGTGGTTTCTGTCATGCCAAGATTGAAAATGATGTGTTTTGCATCTGTTTGCCCTGACTGCCATCCCGGGGCTCCCAACCCACAAGGAGTCCCCCTCAAAAAGGGGGTCCCCAGCCAGGTCCCCACCACCCAACAGATCCCCATCACAAGGCTTAAACACCTTTACAAGAGAGTAATTTAACGCCATTCCCAGCTTAAGCTCCATATCTACTGGGCGTGAAATTAGTTCCAGCAAGCTGCAAATTTGCTGCTAATAAAAATATTTAGCAATTCGCCAGTCTTTAAATCAGGAGCAGAATATTTTCTTGCTTGCATCAACGCCTGTTTCTTTTTAATTCTAATATTGTGGCGTCGAGGAGCTCCAGCCATAAAACTGGGAGTTTTACGACTGCGCGAAGAGTTTTAAATCAGTTCCCCCACACAGCACTTCTCAATTCTTCATTATCATTTGATTGTGGGCCATGCTGGTTATTTTGGCCACCAGGATGAGCTGGGCTTGATGCACTTGCAGGTTCTAATCCAAAAAAGGGCATCTTGACCCAAATCCACTCCATTTCCAGGACCTGCTCCTTGAGAGGTGTCCTACAAAAGAGCTTCGATCCATATGATCCTGTCTTGCAGGCCTTGAAGGAAGGTCACCTCTCCATCCTCCTGGGCCAAGCATTTAATTAGCCTCAGCATTAAGTGCATCTCTATGCCAAGCCGATTTCCTACAATTCCACCATCAGGATCTTTGTCATGCCTTTGCCAAGAAATGCCACAATTCCCTGATTTTTCCCTTGGGAAAAAATTACCTGCAGTGATGCAGCCTCCTGAAAATCATTCCTCAGCACTGGAGAACACTGAATCATTTATGTCCAAATAAATCCTTTGCATTGGGTTTTCTGGGCCATGAGTGTCCAACAGCACCTGGATGATCCGTTTCTCCTTGTTTAAAGCACGGTATTCCTTGAGAGCCTTGCCAGGAAAGGCTTTATGATCCCTAAATTATTGCTATCAAACACAGTGGAGCTGGAATTGATCGTTACCATACCACTTGTCATTGGTCCTGGCCCCAGCAAAAGGATTTGGATGCAAATGTCACGTGGTGCAAGTCAAAAGTCTTGAGAGACTTGGACCTCTGATACCACCAAACACCCCACAGCAACAACTGTCCTAGAAAAAAGACACCACAAATATGAAGTTTCTCCTAGAGTCCTGCAAATAACACGAAAATCCTCAATTTCTAGTGCTTTCCTACATTTTTAAATTTACCTTTTATATTCAGCATTGCCTTTCTCCTTCTTTCTATTACCTTTTTTTTCCAGGTGCAGCGCAGCTCTGATACAAAGAGCAAATGGGACCAAGTCCCAGCAGGTAAAAGATGGAAGGAAAAGTTATTTTAGGCCAGCAGGAAACAATTCTTTGGCCATAAAATCTGATCTTTGCATTCAACTGACCAGCTGCCAGAGCAGTCCATAAGGCAAATCCCCAGCCAGGCATTTCTAATGTCGGGGGGAGGCTGAGATGCAGAAGAGGGATGTGTTTAGGATGATGAGTTTTGTTGCAGATAGGATGAAGAAATCTCTAATGAAGGTTGTGCTTGGAAATGCCACACCAATGAGGTTGATTTTCCCAGGTACCTTCTCCCAGTCCCTTAGCTGTGGATTTGCCACTTGCTTCCTCTGTGCTCAAAGAAACCATAATCCTGCTGTGGTACCCTGTGGACCATGCAAATAAATATAATAGGGATATATATATATCTATATATATTATTTATATCCCTATGAATAAACATTATAGGGATAAATATATAGGCATTTTGGAGCTGTTGCACATCATTTCAAATCCAACTCTTAATGCTTGAGTTACCATGGGCCCAGCTTTGATGGTGGGATTGAAACCAACAAGCAGCACATCTCAAACCTGGCCCCTGGATGTTGTTGCTGGAGTGTGTATTGGATTTATTCTTCAACCTTTGGCCAAATACCTGGGATGTGGTGCAGTCCATCAGTGGGCTTAATAGCTGGATGATTCATGTTCCCTGCTGCAACCTCCTGAACTGGCTTAATGTTGTCATTGCGAGCATCAAGAAACTACCAGGAGATGGACATAAGAAATAAAGATCTGGTCAATACAGGAAGAAGTTAAAGAGGCTATTGGAAAGCTGTGAATAAAAGGTAGAAGAGAAAAATAAGTGAGAAAAATGAAAAGCCTCATTTGCTGATGGACAAAAATTATCACTTTGAGATGGAAAGTCAAAAGACAGAAGAGGAATGGCAGAAAAAGAAGGTTCCAGCTGAAAACAGGGTTGTGAAAAAGAAATTTGGGATTTTACAAACTACTGGGAGATGCAAAGAAATAGCAAAATAGAGAAAAGCAAGGGAAGATTCCCAAACAATAGGAGCAAATCTGTAATTCCTTCTTGCCAACAGGAGCAGGAAGCTTGGGAAATAATAGAGAAGATGGACATCAGCAATGTGGGGTTTGCAGAGGGGAAAAAAACTTGCCTAGGGGGATTAACAGCACAAGGTGGAGCAGGAAGGAGTTTGCTATCAAACATACACTTTTAATATGTTGGCAGCCAGTTCCTACTCGATGCCAAGTAAAGGCAGGTGTCGGAAACAGTCTGTGCTCTGTTTGCTGAGGCGGTTGGTGTCACGCCGGCGACTCTGATTTCATCGCAGGGAGAGGCAGGTCGGTGCAGCACAGCGTAATTAACCGCTCGTTTATTCCTCCCATTGCAAGGAGTGACAGAAAACGGCACCTGGGTGACATTCTGTGCATCCAAAGTATCGTCAGACTTCAAGCAGTTGAGGGGAAAAAGGGCATATATCAGTGTTTGGGTTTTTTAGGTTTAGTTGAGCACTGAGTGCCTGGGGTTGGAATAAAATGGTCTTTAAGATTCCAACCCAAACCCTTCTGGGATTCTGGGATTCTATGATAAAGTCACTCATCAAACCACACTGGCCAGGGACTGATGGGCAAGATGAGATGGTGAAGAGGCAGGGTTTATAAACAGGCTGAAAAACTGATTTAAATAGAAATTTCTCTTGCCTTGATACTAAAAAAAAATGCTCAGAGCATTGACAAACCCCTGTGGTTTGGCTTGGCTGGCCTCGGACCCAGAGCATGACTGTTCCAAAACCCTGTTGGTCGTCCCCATGTCTGCATTACTGTATTAACCTAATCTGCCTGATTTTGGCTCTAAATATTTTGAGGGCGAAAGTGTGTTCGGAGGCGCTCCCCGCAGCGAGGTGGGCACGAGCTTGGGCAACCAAGCACTAACCCGCCTGCACCGGGAGCGGAGAGGAACTCCAGTTCCTCCGGGAGCAGCTCGGAGCTCCGGGCTGGGGGCCACAGCCGCGGGACGAAGGGCGGCTGAAGCGAGGAGTACTGGGCGTTCCATGACGCCAAGAAAGACTGGGGTTCAACAAGGACTGGTTTCAGTAGGACTGGACCAGGAGCGGGACTGGGATCAGGATCGGGACCGGTCCTGTGCGCCCCCGGCAGCGCGGGAAAGGCGCCGGTCCCGCCCCCTGCCCCGCCCCTCAACCAATGGGAAGCGCCGAAAGCGCGTCATGCGGGGCGGGAAAAGCTGCGGTCACGCCCCCGCTCACCGCCCCTCAGCCAATAGGTAGCTCAAGGTGCGCGTCGGGCGGCGCTGATTGGCCGGGGCGGTGCGGTTGCTAGGCAGAAGTGGCGGCGCGGCATGGCGGGCGCGCTGGGCGTGGGGCCGGGGGTGCTGGCGCTGCTGCTGCTCTGGGCCATGGCGCTGCTGCTCGGGACGGCGCTGGCCCGCGCCGGCCGCGCCCGGTGAGCTGCGGAGACGGGGCGGGACGGGCCCGCTGAGCCGCGGGGAGGGGGGAGGGGGGACGGGCCGGCCCGGTGCTGAGCCCGCCCCGCCGTTCTCCGCTCTCCCCGCAGGGTCGCCGCGGTGCCAGTGGTGCTCGGAGCCGCCGCGCTCACGGCCGCACTGCTGCTCTTCCCCCGCGAGGGCGAGAGCCCGGCCCCGGCCAGCGCCGAGGAGGTGAGCCCGGGCCCGAGCGGCCGGGCGGGCCCGGGAGCGGGGGGGCGATGCCCCGGGGATGTGCCTCTGCCCCAGGGACGGGCTCCGGGATGGGCGCCGCAGATGTGCCTTCACCTCATGCGTGGCCCTGACTGCTGCCCTGCGGCCCCGAGGATGGGCCTTTACCTTGGGAATGGCCCCAGATGTGCCTTTGCCCCAGGGATGAGGCCATCCTGAAACCCTGGGAATGGTTCTTTATCCAAGGATGGGCTTCAAGGATGCCCCGAGGCCCTGGGAATGGCCCTGCGCTGCCTTTTTGGTTTCCTCCTCTGGCACAGTCTCTGGCTGGCATAAGCTGCGTGCCTCCTGGGGCCGCTGTCTTTTCAAGTTCTCTGACTAAATCCATGATTTACGCCTTGTTCCACCTGACCTGTGGGGTTCGGCTCCCAGGGGCTCCGCCCAGCGATCACACCCCCGCTTTGGTCCCTCCCAGCTCCAACACCCCCGCTCCCCCTCTCCGTCCCCTTTCCTTGTAATTTTCGTTCCAATTCTGCAGCCTTTCACTTTGCCCCAGCTCTGATTTCTGTTTAAGCCAAATAACTGCTCTTCAGCTCCCTTTGTATGTTATTGCCGTACTCGAGCATGGAGCCATCTGTGTTTTCAGGCACAGGGATCTCCCCCAACCTGGAGTTCCATCATGCTGCCTTGAGCTCTCCCAGAGCTCTATGGGCTCTGAATACTCAAAGTTTTGTGGCCTTTCAGGTGCTGTTTCCTCTGTTCTATTATTAATGCACGTTAATTATTGCTCTTCTGGATTTTGATCCGTGTAAATCCCTACTAAAAGATACTTGCAAGGTTCTTTTCTTCTCTCTGTGCTGCGTGTGACCTGCCTGTGTGAAGGGTGAGAGCGAGATGAAGGGCAGCCCAGCGCGTGTTTGTGCCTGGGAGGTGAACACAATTGGAAAGCTTTTTTTTTTTTTTTTATGGATCTTCAGTTGGACTGGACCTGCCCTGCCTATCAATAATACATGACCTGGGCTTTCTGCACCGAAACTCTGCTAATTGGCTAATTAAAAAGTGAAACGTGCCGAAGGAGCCAGCACTTCGCTCACCAGAGACTGTCTCTGCAGCAGCACCAAGGCTGAGCATGTGCTAATGTGATGGATAAAGCTGAGCCGGCGCTCAGCAAAGCTCTGGGGGGTCTCGGGAGCAGAGAGAGGGATTTTGTAACCAGCCTCCTCGCTGTTGGCTTCTCTTTGTGTCTTGCCTTGCTGCTGTAGCTTCTTTTTTTAATGTCTTTTTTTTTTTTTTCCCCACTATTTCCCTTCTAAAAGGGAATCAGGGCCGGAGGTTTGTAAGTGGGGAGAGGTGCTCCAGGGCTTGACTCGTGTCTCTCCCCTGTGCTCAGTACCGTGCTGCTCCACATTAACATTCCCACAACTGGCATTTTGCAGAGATTCCTGTCGCTCATCCCACAGAAGGCACCCGTGCCAAGGATGAGAAGCAAGGAGAGAAATCTGGGGGACCCCCATAGGTTCTCTTTTCCAGGCTGTGACGTGCTCCCTCCAGGCTCCAGGTGCAGACTGGGGCTATGACTTGTGCTGGGATCTTTGTGCTTCTGTTCCCTCCAGATCGTGGACACCTTCCTCATCGGCCGCTTTGTCCTCCTGGCTGTGACGAGCCTGCTCTTCCTGGGGTGCCTGTTCCTGCTCCTGGTTTACGACCTCATGGAGCCTGTGTATGCCAAGCCACTCCACAGCAGCTAGAGATGGTAATCCCTGTGAAGAGCTTTTGTAGGAATAAACCAGGAAGGGAGACCAGGAGGCTCTTCCGGAGGTGACCACGATGATTTTTCTGAGCTCAGGAAGCACCGGCAAATCAAGTGAAGGTCACTTGGACCCAGCACTGCAGCTTTCACCCTTAAAAGCAAAGTTTGGGCTGAGCACAAGGCTCTTCCTCCCCAGGGTCTTCAAGCCTCTGCATCTGCAAAGGCTTTTGAACCTCCGAGTCGTCGTTTACAGGCGAGCTGAGATCCAGCACTGGGTGCTGCCCCTGAGTCAGGGAATTGAACTGAACCGAGATGGTTTGTTATTGTTACCCACAAGAGATAGTTTGTTACTGCTCCTTTTTCATTTAATAAAACTCTTTGAGAAACCACTGACTCAGCCTTTATGTATTCTCCAGAAATGTCACTTTTGGCCAGCCCTGTGGTGATGGTGCCTCGGAGGAACCACCTTTTCCTGGGGCAGATGTGAGGGTTTGGGGGAAAAAAACCCAAGCAAACAAACCATCAGTGTGTGGTTGTGGATTGTTGGGGATGGTCCCTTGGACTGGAAACCAGGAGCTTTGGAGGGGGGAGGGAACAACAGGCAAAATAATGCCAAAACAGCACATGGAAAGCTGCCCTACCCAGGGTGCAGAGGAAAGGCGGGCGTCATCTCCCTGTGCTGGACAGTCCTGCCAGCCATGGAAACACCCCTTGTTACCCAAGTGTCCCCTGGGTCTGAAGGACCCTGAGGTGTCACCGTGGGTGGGGCTGAAGGCTCAGGGTTGCTGCTACCCTAAGGCTTCAAACCACTGCTCACTCCATCACAGTCCTGCTAAAGCTGCTGGTTGACTCCAGTACCTTCCCTCGTGGGGAAAAGAAATCACTCCTTCTGTTTTGCAGCAGCAGCAATGGGGTTTAATCCCATTTCCAGTTTTTTCAGGGAAGCTGGGGGAAGGGGAGCCAAGCCATCAACCTGTGCTGAGATGAACCTGTTGGCAGCAGCCGCTGGGCTGGGTGTCTGCACAGCAATTGCCGCTCCGTGCCCTCGGTGGCAACAGTTGCTTTTCTTTCATGAAATTTCAAAAAGCTTTTAAATTGCACGAGAAATATATGTTGGTGGCCTGGAGCATCCCCTGACTGTTTTGGAGCAGGGAAGGAGCCTTTACCATCCCTACTGCCTCAGGGAGAGGTTCCCACAGGTGAGGTGAGTTACCTTATGGCTCATGTTTTCCAGCCCCAGAGGGATGGAGCTACTCAGCCTTCCACGGTTCAGCAGGCAGCGGGTATTGCAGTAAGGTCAAAGCCAAGTGTGAGACAGCCCCAAGCAGTGGTCGGGGGCAATACAGCCAAAACCTTCAGGACAGAAACTTGGATTTTTAATTCTTTCTCCATTTCAGAGATTTTTTTTTTCCTAATTTTTCATTTCAAACTGAAGATGGTGAGAGTAAATTAAAGAACCAATGGGCTTCTTTCAGCCATGTCTTGACAGCTGTCAGTCACCAGACAGCACTGACAGGACATGAAAGACTGATAAACCAGAGCCAACAGGCATAGAGATGACGCTTCTCCAGCAGGAAATGCCCCAGCACCCCGGAGCACGAACTCAGTCAGCTAAAAAATGTCAGTACATTCCCAAAAAAGGCAGAGGAGAGGCATCCCTGCTTTCCAAACCAGAGAAACACTCGATCCCTTCCCATCCCAACACTTATGTCCAAGGGAGCTGAACAGCCGCGTTGAGGAACACGCCGAGCGTTTATGCAACAGAAGCTCGTTGGGGTCTCTTGGTGATTTTGAAGTTATGCCTGAAACAAAATTCATATTTAATTCATCATCCTGATAACATTCATGAACACGGAGCGTGTCTGGCGGCTCGCTCTGGCTCCACGCCCCTGCCGTGTCGTTACTCCCGTGCTGGTGGGATGATTTTTGCTGTGGTTTGAGTGGGGCAAATGGGGGACAAAGCACGGCAAAAGTACTGGGGCACTAAAAACCTGACCCTAAAAGCAGAAATGTGAAACTTCTTTCCATTTTGCGCTGTAAATAAACCCAAACAGGGGTTTTTCCTCCCCTTAAACTGTGACTAAAATCAGTTCAAAGGTTGATGGTGTGGGGGGTACTTTGGGGAGAATGGAAAGCCATGCTGCAAGAGGGACATGGTGGTTCCTGCTTAAGGAGGCAATTTCGGCATTTTCCCCAAAATCCCATCAATTGGAGAAAAAGCCCCATGTGCTCTCACCCCCACCAAACTGTTTTAAGCTCCATCCTCATCCTTTCACCACCCCTGGCAGTGGGGAACGACCGGCTGGATGAACTCAACCCAGGCTCTCCATGTATTTATTTATTCTGGGCCATTCTGCTCCTCTCCACACAGGGGCTTTTCAGACAGTTCCTGTTTATTTTTGGGAAAGGAAAGGCCACGTCAAAGAATTGGTATGAGCCGGAGCTGCTTTCCAACCAGCCCCAAATGGGGATTTTTTTTGCTGACATCCCCATCCCAAACATTCAGCTCCGGGAGGATAACCTCTCATTAGCACATCCACCTCTGATTAGCTCCCTGATCCTTTATTTTTAAATTATTGTGCAGTGAAAGGGTGGGTTTGGCTTAAATCCCAACCTCTTGCTAGTGAGGGTGTTGGGAGCTCGGGAGATGGGAGACAAGGAGCCCTGCTCCAGCCCAAACTGAGCAAGTAGTGCCAGCTCTCCCCCGGCAGGGTGGGAGCACCGGCAGTGCCGTGTCCCAGGATGCCAGCTCAGTGCAGGCAAAACATCAGGCTGAATCCCGGGCAGAGAAACTTGTCATGCCAAAAGGGCACGATGAGGACAGCCAGGCTGCTTTCAGGTCAGGTGGGAAAACACCCCTTTTCCCCTCTAAATTCCCTGCCTGGCGTGTTAGCAACGAGTGGGGATGCTCCTGCACCGCGATGCGGGTGCCCATGCTCACCAGTCTGAGGGCAGCTGCTCTCTCCTGCCGAGCAGTGCCAAAGCAGGGATGGAGGGAGCGCCAGTGCCTGCAGGGGAAACTCCTCTCCTTGATTTAAGGTCCTTGAATGACGGCAATTCCTCACGCCTCACGCTGCTCTCTCCGGCACTTAATTACCCTCGCTGGAAAAGCTGCCCTCAGATTTCCACCTTGACTTTGCTGACTTCAGCTTCCCTGCTGTTGGATCCTGCTTTGCCTTTGGCTGCTAATTAAAAAGCCCTTCAGCCTTTGCCGGCTGCTCCTTACATAGGTAATTACGGACCGTGCCCCAGCCACCTCTTCACCTCCCCAGCAGCCCGGCGGACCAGCAGCATTCCTCCGAAATATGTGCAGCCTGCTCCCAGTGCACCCCCGGTGAACGGTATCAGTGTGGTGGGGGCTGTGGGGTCACTCCTGGAAAAAACCAAGCTCTGCATTTGCCAAACTCAAGGAGTCGGTTTCAGGTGGGATTTGTCCCGTCACAGGACAGAGGGGGACGCGTGTCCGTGCTGGCACAACCCCTCAGCGCAGCGCAGTGCCGAAGGGGCTCGTGGCACAGGGAAAAGGCCCCTTTTCTGTCGGAGAAGGAAAGAGGCGAGGTGAGCCTTCCAGACTCCTCCCAGAGGAGCTCAGCTCAATTTAAACAGTTCTTTGGCTGAGACAAACCCAGGGGATACCCCCTTGCCTTCCTGCCCACCCCTCAGTCCCAAATCTCAGCGAGATCTGGGTTTTCTTTGGCATTTGGCTCTCTTTATTTTAAGTTGAAAATTGCCATGGGCCATGTGCCCTCTCTCCTCGCTCCCAGCAGCACAGCCAAGGCTGCTCAGACTTTCCAAACACGAGTGGGACGTGGCCCAGACCTAAATTTGTCCTGGAAAAACTGTGGTCAGCTGAAAGAACAGGCAGGAGGGGGTGGGGGCAGGGGCAAACAAAAAGGGAAGAAAAGGGGGGGAAATGCCCAAACCAACTTGCTGTTGCAATAAGCCCCTATGTATGTCAGGGCTTGTGGGATTTTTTGCTTGGAAATGTATTTTGAGCGCTCCACTTCTTCAGCACAGAGGGATGGTAATTAAGCAGTGCGAAAGCTCCATCACACATGCACTGAAAGAGCCGTTCTCAGCCCAGTGGCATCACTGGTGGGTCCTCAGAGGCCACATGTGCCACGAGCCACGTGGCCTGGGGACGCTGCAGTGTCAGCCTTTTGGCTCTGCTGAGGACAGACATAGCTGTGACACCTCTCCCTATGGCTCCATCAGGAGGGGTTGCCCTAAAGTGGGTTGGTATTTTCCTGGGAAAAAAGGGCAATTGGTGATTTTACTTTTCTCTGCCTGCTCCATCATTTCTTCTGCTTTTTCTCTCAGGCAACCAGTGAGTTTCAATCCCCACTGAGCATCTCTGTGAGATGTGAGGGGACCAAAGGCCACCTCAAACCTGCAGCTGCCACTCTCCAAGTTGCCTGTCTCCCTGTGGCCCTCAGGGGTTTACAGGGAGCTGATCCAACTGGCCAGCAAGTCTCCTCCTTTTTTTTTTTTTCTCCTTTTCTTCCCCTCTGCTGATGAAATCAGCACTTAATAAAATCACTTCAGGCCCAGATGTTTTCTCCTCGGGTTAAGATCCAAGAAGGTAAAGTCAGTTCGAGTTCAGATTTAGAGCGGGCACAACTGGAGCTTGCCCGGACGTGATCCCCAGAGGGTGAGAAGCCTGGAAACACAACCCACGGCTTCTGAGTGCCCTGTGCACCACCCCAGCTCCTCACAGATCAAAGTTGGGGCCCCCCAGGAGTGCACAGCTGGCTGCACAGCTGGCCTTGGCCTTAGTCAAGGGACTCTGTGGGGGTCTCTGAGCACAATCCCTGCCTGGGGAGCCCACAGAGCCAGCAGCCAGCGGCGCCAGCTTAACCTCCTGGGGCCCCTCCTAATTAGGAGGCATCTAATGGAGATATCAGCTGCCTACACTGGACTGAGAGTGGCCACAGTGTGCGAGCAGGTGTTTGCTGTGGTGTGGGGGTTGACTCAAGTTCTTCTTTTGTGGCTAAATGGCATGACTTTGGAATCATAATAACCAGGAAAAACACTGGGTTGAGGGTTTGTTTTTTTTCAGTGGGATGAGTTGAGGAATACACTCAGCTTGATTTGGGCTCAGCCCAGGTACGTTCTCTATGTAGAATAAGCAGCGCTTTGTTGGTGAGGCAGTGCCTAAAGTGATTTGGCATCACCCTCCTGGTCCAGGTCCTGAAATCCCAAGTGTCAGGATGGGGCAGGCTCGCAAACAAGAGCAGGGCAGGCTCGCGAACAAGAGACTGCACGTGGAGAAAAGTAAGAAGAGAGGCGCGGTCACCGCCCCCAAGTCCACAAAGACCTTACTGAGCCCCTCCAGGACATGGCACGGATTTTTTGCATGTTTTTATTAATAAAATGGCTGATGGTG